GAGGACAAGCGAGCTCTCTACTCCTACACGCATTGCATCCCAATTGTTATTCCGTTAGCCCTCGCGCGATAGTGGTGTCTAGGTGTGTTTTCCATTTCCCACCTGTACTTTCGTTATCTAAGGTAAGGCGAATGCACCTCGGGTACATAGTTAATATTACAGTGTGCGATTTGCAACAAAGCGACAGAGAAGGGACGCCCAATCACGTGCGCTCGTTTTCACAGGATCGTGCACACCGTCTAGCGATCAAAAGCGTTTCACAAGATAGTGCGTGGAAAACAGGCGTTTGCGGTCGTCCATCGGGTCACGGAAGGATAGGAAGACCAGGGCGGAAGGATCTAGGAGACGTAGATGATACAACAAACAGTACACGAGAGGAAGTTAGATCGAGAAGATAGATAGCTAGATAGATAGATAGAGAGAGAGAGAGAGAGAGGAAGAAAATACAATATATATAATACATATAAAAGAGACGGAGAGAGGAAGGGTTTAACCACGAATATACGATCGTATTCGGAGTCGGACGCGCGACATTGGATTTTTTGACAACTGAGCCCTGTACATTCGCTTCCACGTCGAATATCGCGCTGTCGATCGACAATCATTGGAAATCATCGGGGCCTCTACGTCCGCGAGTTGACGCCATGCTGGCGCAAAAAGGTGGCTCGCAATTAAACCGAGCCGGGCGTTTTCTTTGTTATCTATGTATATATTCGTTGGCCTCTAGATTGTATATATCACACACATGATTATGTACAGGTACTTTCTCATCGCTAGGCGGGTGCCGATGGTGAATGTATAGAAGCATAGCCTATTGCTGCGGGTATATGTAAAATGTATAATGCGGCGGAAAAAGTAAAAGCTGAATGTTTGTAATAAACCAACGAGCCAATCAGCGTACAGCTCCTTCGTCCAATTAACCTCGTCAGCCCCGTTCCAGGTCCTCGCGAGACACCGACAGAACGGCAGTCGATCGGTTCAGCCAACAATAAGTTCGTCCAATTCTCGCGCGACGTTGTAAATTATTGCTCTTTGGTTGTTACTCTCGGAGAAAAATGCTCGATCTAATTGAGATATGCGCTAGCGAATATTTTGAGGCGAAAATTGTGGAAATCGACAATTTTTGAAATATTTCTAGTCGTGCTTGTGAAATCTTAAAGTATTATTTTCTGTTTTTATTTATGTTAAAATGTTCCTTGAGAAATTAATCGGTAATTATCGTTGGACGTACTAATTATGTTAATCGTTAGGCTTGGCAAAGAAAAAGTCGAGAGAATCGACTTCCTTCTATCGAGTCTCGCGGAAAACCGGATGGGAAATCGAGGCTGATTCGTGGTGCGAATCGAGTGGACGTGAGCTCGCGCGTTCACCAGGGCGGGTTACCTTAAAAATAAGGTCGCTTTTGCTGAAACCGGACTTCTTTTTAGTCATATTGTCAGAACTTAGGCGCCCCCTCCGCTCAGTGCGTTTTTTTTGTAGGTTCTGCAATATCTAGAAACAAAAGAAAGCGGGACATAGCCAGACGTAGTAAGAAGAGAGCACGTTAATAGAAATTCTGCAGAGGTCAATAGAAATTTCACAGAGATAGGAGGACGTAGAAATAGTGTCAGAAAGAGCGTAAGAAAGAAACGGGAAACAGAGATAGAAAGAAACGGAGCGAAAGTAACAGTGAGGAGGTCGGGAGAGAAACGTCGGTATAGTTAATACAGTAGGTGGTTTTATATATATATATATTAATCGACAGTTTGCAAGATGGTGGTTCAGTGGCGAAAAGTAAGACAGAAATAGTAGATTGGGAGATTGTCGGGCGGATAACAGGATCAATTTTCTTTTTCTCATCTCTCGTCAGAAATTTCCGTGTGCGGTACAGATGGCCACGTCAACGAACGTGCTGAAAGGCAATCCCAACCCTAAAGTATCGTCCTTTCGCTATAATATGCGAAGTACACTCGATCGCGACGTCCGCCAGCAGATGCGCAAATGTAATAATAATAATAATAATCGACGTCACTGTGCACTCTTAACGATGACACCCCATTGAAACAGGCCGTACGCACAATCGCATGTGGATCACGTTAATTTATCCATTTAACGGTGAAATAAATTCAAAGAAAAAAAAATAAGAGAAAGGCGATATACATATATATGTACATATAAATATAAGGTGTTAGTACCTCTCATTTTCCATCCTCCCTCCTGAACGCTAGTACTGGCACATACACAAGCACATAAACAGAGTAAATAATTAACATCAGGTGTTGGTATATCGATGTCGGTGCGAACTCTCGCCTCGCTCGCGAGTGTCGGACCACTCAGTAGTCTGGATACCAAAACGATCGGACGATCGCGTGAGTGATGAGAGATCGGTAAAGTGTGAGTGGGAGCGCAAGTAAAAAAGAACGATTTCGGTGATGTGAGCGAGTGTGTGCACGCGAAAATATAATCGGCAAGGGGCACGGCACGATAACGAAGAGTAACAATCCGATGATCCGTGAATTAGATAATTAGTAATCAACAAGCCATTCGTTAGTAGTCAAAGCTATCGAATTAGCAGTCGCGCGCCAAGCGTAAAGCCGCAGTTCCTTTCAAGCTTGGATAAAGCTCGATGAATTAATTAGCGGATATACATATACATATAACATATATATATATATATATATATATATATATATATATGTGTGTATGTATATATGATATCGTGGTGAATTTACGGATTGAGTAAAAAAACCGCGCGATTAACTTGCAAAGCCGTGTATTTTGATTTTGAGCGTAGGTTCATTGAAATAATTCATTGAATGTAATTGACTTCGTGACACTGTCGATATTATCTTTCATGCAAATTCGACGGCATTGTTTCGAATTAAAATAGCGAAATAGCTTTAATTGAGATGTATATCGAGGAGAACTTGATACTTTTCTACATAAGAGAAATTGCATATTTTGTTTTGAACACATTTTAATTTAATGGAATCGAAAAAGGGCGTTATCGAAGAAAGGCTAAAACAGAAGAAGAAAGGTGCACATTAATTTATGCTTGAGGAAACAAAAGTTATTTCAGGTGTCGGTGATACATAATAAACATTGCCTCAGCCTCGATTCATGAGATATCGGATGAGAAGAGACAGAAGAGAGAGACAGAGAGAGAGAGAGAGATACAGAGAGAAGAGAGAGAAAGAAGGAAAGAGAGAGAGAGAAAACTCTGCAAATGTGATAACTGTGGAAATATAAAAATTCTGCTCTTCCCAGGGCAATGTGCGCGCTTCGCTGCTCTGCTGAAAGAAACAAAATCTGTGACGAGATAAACATATGCAAAGGAGAACCCTCCCATCTTTCTGAAAAATTCCATGCAAAAGTCACGAAGAAACTTTATGAGAAATTGTTGTTATCAAAAATTTTTTTCTAAGAGATCGTCGCGTACAGATGAAAGAACATCGTACACTGCTCGCATCACATCAATGAGATATTACAAGTACACACAGGTAAACATTGGCACAGGGACACTTTTGCCTTAATCGCGTTCTTACGGCACTTCCTTGTTGCGTTTCGCTACGTCTGCGCATACATCTCGATAATTATGCGCGTCTCGAGAAACGCGCGATTCGCGCCACGCCAAGTACGCGTCGTGAAAATCATACGCGGACGTACACACAATCGCGCGTTTCTGCATGACGGTTATGATTTATCGTCTCTTAATGTGCGTACACACGCGAGTACGTTTTAATTTGCACGCTGAATGCAACCACGCCCCCCCCCCCCCCTCGACTATTATCGCCGCGGTTCGCTACTGTGCGGCTGTTAACTCTAATGTGCGTGCTCACAAAGGCACTCGTGTTTGTTATCTGATTTAATTACGATGTAAAGGGAACTGGATGTACGTGCCACGGCCGAGAAGTTCTTGCATCCGTTACAAAGAGCAGTGCGTTTTGCTGTTAATTTTTTTTTTAATTAATTAATTAATTAATTAATTGAAGATTGAGCATAGAAGTGGGACCTTTAAAACGCTCTTGTTGCTTTATTATATTTAAGATTGGAGATATATACGCACGAATGAATGAAAAAAAAATCGTCTGTCTCGCTGAAATATTTGGTAATATAATTGGTAAGCCACCATTTTATAGTTACATCATCGTTTAAAGTGGAATAGAATTAATGCAAAGCAAAATCGCACGATAAAAAATTAGTGTTAAATAAGTAAAATGAAGAGAAATAGGGAAATTTGCGATTATTAACTTGGTATGTTTTATCAATTCTTTTTTGTTTTCTTTTATGTATTTTTGAACATGATTTCCTGTTTTGTGCATTGCTCATGTTTTATATTATGCTGTGAAAAATTTTACATAACTAAACTAAAAATCGGGAACATTATGAATTCAATTAATTGAAACTTAAGATAAAGTATCGATAAAACTCTTCTGTACTTTTTTTTTTACTCAATGTTCTTTATTTTAAGATGGATGACGAGGATAATCAGGTTAATTTTACACTCTTCTACATCGACGATAATCTTCATTTAAATCTGTCACTTTGGCATGACAAATTTTATTTTGGGAAGCACTGATAAGAGAAGAAATGGAAAAACAAGAATCGTCTCTTTCCACAGATCTAATCTACGATTAATCGACTGTTCTCTCCTTATTTCCTGTCTCCCTTCGCGAAAAACGAATGACAGCACATTACGACGTACATATGTGGGTGTGGGTGTGTGTATGTGTGTGTATAAATATATCGATATCGGTATATGTATACACATACACGCACACGTATTCCGGAAAATGTTGCGCTCCGCTTTCTGGGAGCCAACGCGCAAGAAGCATCTCTCTTGTGGAAAATTTTCCTCTCGTTGCACAATCGAATCGAGACGAGACTGCGTCATTGGCGATTCGCCGTGCGATCGCACAGAGGAGCAGCAATTCTCAAGACAAGCGGAGACGTGAAAGACGCGAAAGAGAGGAAACGTCATATCCGTTACATATATATATATATATATATATAT